AATTGACCTGTTCGAGCATTTTTGTCAAAACAAAATATTTTCAGTATTTATAAATAAGATTACTCCATAATTTTGATGGTCTCTGTATGTAAAAATTTTACCTCCTTTTCTTAGAAACGGAAGTGGAATATAAATTGTTACTTCTAGACCAGGACATTTGGCGTCTTAAAAATCCTTTCCCAAAAGTCAACAACCGAAAAAGGCCTAAAATCCTTTAAAAATCACAAATTTTTATTCACTCCAAAAGTACAAATATCTGTAGACCACCAAAAGTTGGGTGTTTGTTTTCCCTTTTCGGTTGCTGACTTTTGGGAAAACAGCTAAATTTGTAAGATTCAACCTTCATTTTTAAGAGGCCAAATGTCCTTGTCTAGAGTAACAATTTATGTCCTATTAACGGAAAAACATGCAAACTGGGGTATTAAGAGAAATTCTTACTTTTGAAGTTTTTCTTGTTGGATCCTAAGAAAAATTGTATTTGCCCCCTTTTAACATTAATAACTATTATCGTTTATATCTACTTAACTGACGTATTTTGAAACGTGTTCAGAACACGTAATTGACAAAAATTTAAAAAAAATTATGTTTTTCTACGTCCGTTAAACGAACGATTAAAATTTATGAAAAAAAGTGCCGTAGCGGTTAATTTTTTCACTCTTTTGTGTTAAAAAAAGTGTCGGAACGTCGCATTTTTTAACGCATAAATTAATATTTTTGAAAACGCAAATTGTTCCAACGTTTCTTAGTAAGAATTGTTTAAAAAGGGTGTTGTTGCACTAAATGAATCCTTTTATTTTTTATATTTCTATAATGTGGCGGACGTACACTCAGAAAAGTGATGTGTTTGTGATTACTACATTTGTAGTAGTAATACAAGTGTAGATTTTACTAATAAAAAGTGGAGGTATAATTTACTACTACAAACAGTATGCTAAACTATATTTTTTTGAGTAAATTTTACGCAAAAATTGAATAGTAAATTCAACTGCAATGTAATTGTAGGGTTTACTACTACAATTAGTTAATTTCAATTATAACTAGAATGTAGCTGCAAGATGTACTATCACAAAATGTAAAATGTAACGGTTGTTAGATCTCCCGCTATAAATAATACAACCCCCATAGTGGTGGTGGGCCAGTAGTAAGGTCCAGTTGAAGACGCGCGATTGACAATTGATTGTGATTTGCGAAACAATAACGGTCATTTCAAGCTAATATATAAGACTTCTTAAGGGCCGTTGTCCACACTGATTATTTTAATGTAACAGTGGTGTGAAGTGCTTGTGAAATTTAGTTCAAAGTTTCAATTTGTGTTTAGAATTTTCGATTTTATATTTGAAGTGTATTTTTTCAATGATTATTATGAAGAGTTATTTAGAAGATTGGGGTCTTCAAGAGTTAATTCCGGTGTTTCATGGTAAGTAATTTTTTAGTATACCTAGTAGTATACCTATAAGAACTGCTGTAAGTGATTGATTGTTGTTATTTTTATATCACTGAAGTAGAAACCATTGGGAAAATTATATTTGAAATATACACTGTTTTAATTAGATTGTAAATATTTTATATTTTATTTTTCATAGATTTATAACCGAAGGATTTAACAAACACTTCCAAGGGTATGAAGTGACCGAAACTAATGAGATGGATGTCGTAGACATTGGCAAATTATATAGTCCTGTATTCTGTACCTTAGTTAATAAAAGAAGTTTAAATTTAGTTATTCCACCCTTTCATTTTTAAATAAACTTATTAAGTTTAAGTAGTATAATGTACCTAGTTTTWTGTTCATTAGTAATTAGGTAATTGTAAGTGTAAAATGTTGTACATATTTTAATTTATACTTAGTTCACATATTTATTTTTTGTAAATTGTACTTTTTTGTATCTGTTTTTTTAAATAAAATACCTACTAATATAATCACTGTGTATTATTATCATCTACACTACACTATAGTGATATCTACATAAAAAGAATACTACATTCTACTTTATAAAATGTAATTTATTCTTCCTTAAGTTGTTAAACTGACGCTCTCTGATAGTTGGAATTAGCGTTACATAAGGGTCTGAAATACAAAAATGTAGGTTGATTTGACACATCATATAACGTTAAATTTTGCTATATGTGCAGTGGTAAAATTTACTAAAAGAACATAACGCAAAAATAACAACTTGTAGATGTAATAATCACCAATTTACAAAAACTATTTTGTAGTGGTAAAATCTACGGCACAAAATAGTTGAGGCCTATTTCACTACTACAAGTAGTAATAGAAACTCCTTTTTCTTTGAGTGTAGAAAAAATGTTGTATGCAACTTTTTTTCAACTCGTTAAAAAGAGTGTTGCTTTACTCACACTATTTCACAATACTTATTGATACAATTTTAAGAAAGAAAAATGAGGTAATTTAAAACCGCGTAGATGATTAACTGATTAAATAAGAAACAAATGGTGCTTATTAGTCAAATATATTTACGAATTAGGTGATTTGTAAAAATATTTTTTGACAATAAATAAATATAACTAATCTACTTTGACAAAAATGCCTGTCCTCACTTCTCCGAACTGCCCCAAAAGTATCGGATTCACGCTGACACAACCTCGCTAGTAATAAATTTATAAAATGGCTTGCAATAATTTAAAATTTCTAATCTCTTCCCCTATCCATCATAGTCTCCAGCAATAAATTAGTAGTAATAGGAGACGTCTTTATCCCTGACGACAGGCTGAATCGAGAGATCGTTCCACACTTGCGTTTCCCTCTCACCACTGGCATCCCCATTCGGCTCATTCCTCTGAAAACTGTACGGCCAAGTCTGAAAAATGAGAAATCGCCGTTTTTAACTTAATTGTTTTCGCCAGCTGAGAACATTTGGCGGCATGCTCTAATTATCAACAGTGACATCCGAGATGTTTATTCAAGCGAAGTGCTTAAAGGCTCCAACATAAGCAAAATCTATTATTAAAATGCAGGAGTGATTTTTATTTGCTTACGAGTGTGAGTGGATGTTTGTGGAGGTGGTCGGGGGAGAGGGGCTGGTCCATGAGGACGGCGCGGAGGTGGGCGATGTAGCTGGTGGCGAGACGCAGAGTGTCCAGTTTGGAGAGTTTGGTGTCGGCGGGGACCCACGGAAGGGTGGTTTTTAGACGGCAGAAAGCCTTGCTGAGGACGCGCATTCGGGCGCGCTCGCGGGCGTTGGCGGCGTTGCGCTGGGGGTGGCGCGAGTCGTCGTCGTCGTCAGAGTCCTCCAGGTCGGGCGAGCGCCGGCGGCGGGGCATTGCTCATCGAAAAGCGGCCTAAAGAAACAAAAAATAAATTGCAAGGTTTAAAATTGGTAAACTTGACTTTGATTTCAGTTTTTCCAATTTATAAGAACAATAAAAATAAAATATGTTGTTTTTTTGCTGGTTTATTATTATTCTATACACCCTGTATAAAGAATTTTACCAAAACAACTAGCTGAAAATTACACTATTTCAGGCAATTCTAAGCGATTGAACTCATGTTTTTGAGTTCTAACTTGGGTTAAATCGAGTGTTTTATGTTGTTATTGTAAGTTTTAAACTCGCACTAAATTTTAGTTAAGTTATGAAAGAAATTACAAAAACATACCCAAGTGGTTTTGGTTGCATTTTTTCATTTTTTGTTGAACTAATAACAAAACATACAGAATATGTGGAATGACAATATTTATTTACATATTTAAAATAAAATAATTAAAAATGTATCAATTTATTAAACTAAAGGTGTTTAAAACTTTTCTTTTAAAGTTAGTCTAGCAGAGATACTATAAAATTTTCCAATCCTAGACATTAATAAAGTAGACGTAAAAATTTAAATATTTTTTATTTCTTATTTTTTGATAGATATTTTTAAAACACGTTGCAACTTTTGGTAAAAAGCGAGAGATTTTTTTCAGAATATTGCTGTTTTAGCCAATTGCGAGCGGTTTAGCTTATTTTTGAACTAAAAATTTACATTTTTCCAAAACAAGTACAAAGACAGTAGTCTTAATTCATAATACCTATCGCAATTTCAGCCAATTCCGAACGATTAATTTAAAAAAACTTTTTCCAAATTTGGTTTTTAGGGTCTCATTGATATACGCTAAAATTTTTGAACATTATTAAAACATCAAATTGAAGTTTATATAATCCTCTATTGCTTGCACTAGCCAAATTTAGAAATATTTATTTTTGCGTCGGCCCTAAAACTTAGGACACCCTGTACACTGAGCGGCAGAATTATGGAATAATCGTATTGAAACTAAAAATTTTTTTCTTTTGCCTACAAAAGGTCAATTTTCTTTTTAAAATATACACAATTTTCAACTTGATTTAAAAGTTTTCGCTTTTCGCTTTTTGGGTATAACGTCGTCATCTACATTTTTTTAGCCATTTCGATAGCTCTTTTAATAACACCAAAATATTAAATATTACAATATTCAAAAAAAATATTCAAAAATTAAAAAACGTAATTTTTAATATCAACAAAAAAAAACAATAAAAAAAAACAATAAAATACAATTTTAAATCAAGTTGAGAATTTTGTATTTCAAAAAAAAAGTGACCTGTTCGAGCATTTTTGCCAGAACCTAGACTCTAATAAAGTAGAAGTAGAAATTTATATATTTTTTTATTTCTTATTTTCTAATACATATTTTAAAATACGTTGCAACTTTTGGTAAAAAAGCGAGAGATTTTTCTTAGAATATTGTTGTTTAAGCTAATCTCGAGCAATTAAGCTTATTTTTGAGCTAAAAATCGATTTAAATTGAGACATTTTTTAAAAACAAGTACAAAGACAGACGTTTTATTTAATTCATAATAATTATCTATCCCAATTTCAGCCAATTTCAAACGACTAACTCGTTTTGTGGTAAGAAATCGCCTGAAATTCTTGAAGTTTTATGTTCATTGTGAGCCTAAAGTTCGTATTAAACTTCTATTTTTGAAAAAAGCATGCAAATAAGTAGGTAATTGTTTTTGTTTCAATGTATAACATTGTGCTATGAGAATTTAAAAAAGTTATTCTAGGTATTATTTTTATAACATCTACTATATGTAACTTTTTAAATCAAAAAACAAATATATTATTACTTTTGTTACATTAATAAAATACAATGTGATTTTATGTATAAAAAAATAGTGTAATACATTTATTTAAAGATATTTATTTGAATCAAAGTTACGAAAAGTTTTATCAAGAAACTGCCTGCCTTAGATTTTCATAAACTACAAGTACCTATAATTTTTTGTGTGTTCTATTTTTTCCTAATTATATTAAAAACGCTAAAATAGTTGCGTTTTTTTTTATTTTTTTTTTAATTAATTTTATAAGAAAATTGAAAAACCAAGAGTCAGTAAAAAATCAGTTCCAAATTAAATTAATGTGGAATTATGAACTGTCTCCTTTCAAAATCGAAATGATTGGTTTTTAGCTGTTGAAAATGAACGTTACATTCAAAATTTTTGTAATTTTGCTGTAATTTGTGACACATCAGTTTTGCCGAATATTTTTGTCTGATTACAATTAATCATACTTTTTTTTAAATAAGTAAATATTTTTATGAAATTTTTTCTTCATAGAGTTAACTGTATTTTTGTTACTATTTTATTGATTTATGGAATTTATTCAAATACAAAAAGGGTCTTTATACCCTTTATCTAATACAAAAGTGAGAAACAAAAAAGAAAAAATTATTTAGAAACGTTTTAAAACTCAGTTTTTTGTTTTGTTGAAAACATTTTTTTAATATTGTTTTTTAAATAATTCTCTCTACTAATTCAATCTACTACAGTGTGTTTTTTAGCCCTAAACTAAGAATGAAAAAAATAACGACTTACCTTTGTATTCTTATTCAAATTACCAATTTGTCACAGACACTCTTCCCTAAAATACCCTCTAATTCACTAATTGACTGTGAAATCAGATCAGCAAATCTAAGGCGGGATTTGACTAAAACTCCTCCCACATCCTTAGGGAACTCGAGAATCCACCAACCAAGATAAGCTTTGTAATGGTCCAGAAATAAAGTTCCGACAAATAAAGACAATACCACTAATTTTTACAAATTGAGGGAATTAGACACGACTTGAAAAATGCGTCTTCAGAGAATTAAGTTGACAGAAATTAAGATAAATTGAGCCAATTTTTAGAATAATAAAATAACTTAAGAATTGTAGTAATCATCTAAATGGTTGAAAAAGATTTAAAAATTACTATAGTCATCAAAAATAAAAATGATAGTTATAATAAAAATATTTTAAGAATTTTTAGGGGAAAAAATGATAGAAATGTTATAGATGTGGGTAAAAATGATCGTTCGTTTACCGTCGCGCAAATCGGAGTATTTAGATTTCAGTGTTTGTTTTATAACTTTTAAAAATGAAGCCGAAGAAAAAATCAGTTTGTTTTTCAAAGAAAATCAGAGTTTTTGTACCCACAATTTTTATCCTAACGATGGATTTTTATTTGTTTTCCTAAAATTAACATAAAGACACAAATATTTACAACCCTCTACAAACTGTTGAAACAATGATTATTTTTGCCTAATAAAAATTAGAGGGACCGTTTTCCTGCCCCTTGTTGCGGTCAAATGTCTCTCCACCCTCTACTTCCAAACATAAACAAATAAACCCAACAAGACCCGTGTGAAGATCTCAAAATCTCGAGTATTTAATTACAAAGGAAATCCTAACAAAACAAACTCATCCCCAAATCCGATTTCAATCCGACTTTTATGATACGTACATGAAAATTTTAACACTCTACGAAAATAGCACTCGCAGGTGGACTCTGTCAACTCATACCCAAATAGAGGGACAACTTTCGCTGACAGCTTCCGCTTAGTTTTCCACCACTAAGAGACAACTTAAATTACCCCAAATAAATCAACAATCATTCATTCGGCATTACTTTATTTATCAATCTGAATTCACAACATTGTTTTCGATCATTGGTTTACAATTTCTACAAAGAAATTGTCTTAAAAATCTAAATTTTATGTCTATTGTGAGCTTTAAGTTCGTATTAAACTTCTATTAATTTTGAAAAAAAAACATGCAAATAAGTAGGTTATTGTTTTTGTTTCAATTTATAACATTGTGTTATGAGAGTTTTAAAAAGTTATTCTATTATTTTTATTACATCTATTTATACATAATTTTTTAAATGAAAAAGCAAATATATTATATCACTTTTGTTACATTAACAAACTACAAGGTGATTTAAAAGAAACGAAATATGTTATTATTATTTAAAATAAATCATAGTTATTTATTAAACAAGACAATAAAGAAATTGTTTATCTACGAGTAAAAAAGGTCAAGTTTACGAGTAACAAAGACACGAGTGGACTTTTTCACGAGTCACTTTCACTTTATCGTCGTGTATAATATTTCGTTTTATTTTGTACTCACCTACCAGAATTTCTTGTACAAAATAAAGAACAGTAGGTAAAAATTACTTTATTTCACTTGACGATAAAAGTTTATTTTATCTAATGAAATTATTTGATAAAAGCACTCTTTAACATTGAGTACAAAATAAAAGATATTTATTTGAACAAAATTACAAGAAGTTTTATGAAAAAATAGCCTTAGAAGTAATGTTTTCATAAACTACAAATCCTTAAAAATCTTTTTTGTGTGTACTATTTTTTCCTAATTATAATAAAAATACTAAATAATAGTTACATTTTTTATTTGTTTTTACTTTTTTATAAAACACAATTGAATAACCGAGAGTCAGTGAAAAAATCAGTTCCAAATTAAATTAAAGTGCAATTATAAACTGTCTTCCTTCAAAATTTTGAAAAAATTGAAATGATCATTTTTTAGCTAATGAAGTGACGAAAATGCTAAGAACGGTATTACATTCAAAATTTTTGTAATTTTGCTCTAATATATGGCACATCAATTTTGTCGAATATTTTTGTCTGTCAGACTTTTTTTAAATAAGTACCTAAATATTTTTACGAAATTTTTTCTTCATAGAGTAAACTGTAGGTATTTTTGTTACTAGTTTATTGATTTATGGAATTTGTCTAAATTCTCTTTATCTATTACAAAAGAGAGAAACATTTACGTTCCTATAAAAATAATTTATTAAACAAAAAAAAAATATTTAGAGACATTTCAAAACTCAAGTTTTTGTTTTGTTGAAAATATTTTTTTAATATTGTTTTTTAAATCATTCTCTCTACTAATTCAATCTACTACAGTGTGTTTTTTAGCCCAAAACTAAGAATGAAAAATTTTTTTTAGCTAATGATGAAGTGACGAAAATGCTAAGAACGTTATTACATTCAAAACTTTCGCTGACAGCTTCCGCTTAGTTTTCCACCACTAAGGGACAACTTAAATTACCCCAAATAAATCAACAATCATTCATTCGGCATTACTTTATTTATCAATCAGCTCATCTACTGAATTCACAACATTGTTTTCGATCATCGATTTACAATTTCTACAAATCACTGCTGGTTTTTGGGCCAACCACGGGTTTGTGTCGAAGCTGGTCGACCTTTTGGACCGGTACGGATAGTTTTTCAGCTTTTTCGTGTCGATTCTCAAGGGACGTTCCAGACAATGACCGGAGATTCCGATCTCGTGGCGTATGTACGGGTCCTCCATCACCCTTAAAACTATCGAATTTTATTTTCGGTGAAGTAAGCACCGCATTACTGCCCGCACAACACGAAATTTTACTTTCAACCCAGTAAGTGGGGCGAAATTCACATATTTACTGCACTTGTGATATAAAATGCTTATGACAATGAACAAAATTGACTGTTTCAATCAAATTTTTTCTTTATTTTTGACTTTTTGAGCACAGAACAATGTGCACTTTTAAAGCAAGGTAAAATATTGTTTATTACCGTTCTTGTGATGAAAGCAGCATTTGCCCGATTATGGGCTTTTTGTGCGCTAAAACACCTATAGTTATTTGTATCACATGGGAAGAAAGTGTATCTATCTCCACACTTTCATCCAGTGTAATACATAGGTATAATTTTTTCAACGATCCAGTTTTACCATTAAATCTAGGAGCAATTTTTCCGTTTCTATGGGGGAGGTAAAATTTTTACCTCACTGAGAGATTGCAAACATTTTTAATATAATTTTGACAGATGGGGGAGGTAAATGGTCAATTTCTTTTCTGAAATTGGGGTGGAAAATAGTGTATTGTTCTATTACGATTCAAAGTGTCAACGGATGCAAAAATACGAGACAAAAAACTCACGAATAAAACATGGTATTTTTTCTCCAGCTAGCAATAACATGCTCATAACTATTTGAAGAAAAATATAAACTTATTTTACTTTTAAAGCTAGGATTGAAAATGAAATGAAAACTTATTTATTTTTAATTCTGAACTTAAAAATTTTTTCAAGTCACGGATTAAGAGTGAGAATTGCCGTGGTAACAAAATAAAACGCTAAAATATCTATAGTTATTTGTATCACAAGGGAAGAAAGTGTATCTATCTCCACACTTTCATCCAGTGTAATACATATAATTTTTCCTACGATTTAGTTTTGCCATTAAATCTAGCAGCAGTTTTTCCGTTTCTATGGGGGAGGTAGAATTTTTACCTCTCGGAGAGATTGGAAACATTTTTAATATAATTTTGACAGATGGAGGATATAATTGCTTAATTTCTTTTCTGAAATTAGGGTGGAAAATAGTGTATTGTTCTATTACGGTTCAAAGTGTCAGCGGATGCAAAAATACGAGACAAAAACTGACGAATAAAACATGGTATTTTTTCTCCAGCTATCAATAACATGCTCATAACTATTTAAAGAAAAATAAAAACTTATTTTACTTTTAAAGCTAGGATTGAAAATGAAATAAAAACTTATTTATTTTTAATTCTGAACTTAAAATTTTTTTCAAGTCTAGGATTAAGAGTGTGAATTGCCGTGGTAACAAAATAAAACGCTAAAATATCTATAGGTATTTGTATCACAAGGGAAGAAAGTGTATCTATCATCCAGTGTAATACATATAATTTTTCCTACGATTCAGTTTTGCCATTAAATCTAGCAGCCGTTTTTCCGTTTCTATGGGGGAGGTAAAATTTTTAGCACCCTGAGAGGTTACAAACATTTTTAATATATTTTTGACAGATGAGGGAGGTAATTGGTCAATTTCTTTTCTGAAATTAGGGTGGAAAATAGTGTATTAAGGTTAAGTGTCAGCAGATGCAAAAATACGAGACAAAAAGTCACAAATAAAACATGGTATTTTTTCTCCAGCCAACAATAACAGGCTCATAAGTCAAAACTATTTAAATTGAAATAAAAAATTATTTTATTTTTAAAGCTAGGATTGAAAATGAAATGAAAATTTATTTATTTTTAATCCTAGACTTAAAGTTAAAGTTTCAAGTCTATGTTTTAATCCGCGGGAGAAAAACTTACTTTCTGTTAGGGTCGTAGAAAAAATGTTTATTCCGTGTGAGAAATTACGTAAGTAATCTATTACTGCTGTAATGCTTTTGAGAAATAAAGACGTTTTTTGCTTTTATAAGAAAAAGTGATAATCGACAAATAGTACGTACACCTGTATGTTACATACAGTTTGTATAAAAAATAAAATATTGACTATAATTTAGTCCTAATAAAAAAATACTATTTAAACAAATACAATCAAAAAACGTATAACTGTCGAGAAACAAAGTGGATAATTCTAGGAGAATAAAAACCAAATTATCTTCCTTCAAAAATTGCACAACTGGAATTAATTCTTGTCGCTTGTGAAAAAAAAAGGTTTATTGTGCGATAACAGTCTACTTACTCTACTTGTTTCAATTTACTTTGTCAAATTTGACAGGAGACATTCTATTACTTCCACTATTTCTTCTTTTATTCTATTTCTTCTATTATTTCTACTATACTATAGATCTCTTTTAAGATACCTACCTATTTAAAAAGTCGACTTACTTTAAAATTAAAATTATAATAATAATAGTATATAAATAAATAATGTAATAAATTATAACAATAGAAATAGTGATTCAATTACTGCACTAGTGCGTGTAACGAGATAAGTAATTACTGTCCTGGCTATGTAAAATGTCATATGTAAAATGTATTATTAATTTCATGCAATAAAATCGCATATGTAATAACTTGATGTCTTACTGCACTTGTTACAAAAAAACTACTGAACCGGGTGCTAATAAAGTTTTACCGGCCCTCTGTCTAGTTGTGTGGTAAAAATTGACACATTTTATGTAAATTAGAAACTGGATCACTTTCGTTACGTAAAGAATTTCTACATTACCACATCAGAAAGTTGGGCATGTCGTATTTCGACCAATAATTGACGTAAATCAGAAAAATAGGTAGTATCGCCAATGTTGTGATGATGACCGTGGAGGCAATATAGGTCATCATTAGATTAAAATGTTTTTCTTTTTCAGCCATATTTATCTGAAACAATTTTCTAATTCAAGTATTTTGAGGTGATTTCATACGTCTATATATTCTTCAGCGACGGCAATTAATCTTCTGAAGCAGGACATGGAAATGTACCAAAGTCTCGTTGCATTGAAATAGATCCAGTGAAATTTCAAATCCTAGTGAATGAAATAGTTTCCTGTTTTTGGGGATTTTTGAATACTTACTCTTGAAACTCTTGTTTTCCACTTGGTATGGAGGGTGGTGTTGCGATGCAAGTGTTGGTAGAGGAGAATAAACGAGGATATGAGGAAAACAAGTGTGGGAATTGCGGAATAAACACTCGGTAGAAACTGTGACGAGACAAGTGCCTTTTCGATAAATTTTGCATGGTTTTCGTGAATGAAACACATTTTTAAAAATGCGTCATTTGCACTGACAGATTTTTGAAATGTCAAGCCCGGACTATCTCGACTGTCTTGATTTGAAACAAATACAAAATAAGATTCTACAA